TGTTCGCCTCTCTGCAGACGGCTCCTCGGAGCAGCATGGACCGCTGGATCTGCTCCAGACTGCGCAGCACGGTGGGCCAGTGCGAGCAGGCCTTTGAAGCTTACGAGCTCCACGCCGCCACGTCGGCGCTGCACTCCTTCTGGGTCCACAGCCTGTGTGATGTTTACATGGTGAGGAGACAACTGGACACGTAGATCCTCCCAGCAGACCAGATAAGAGGGTTACTGGTTCCTTTGTATCTCCACTGATCTTCTTACTGCTCTGTCTAAAAAAAAAAGACGGTGATATATTTATCTGGTTTCCATGGAAACGTGGCGGCTCAAAGCTTAATGCAGAGAGATTAAGCTAATTCAGACTGAAGTGTTAGCGCTAAGCAGCAGTTAGCACTGAACGAGCTGCTGTGCTCTGTGTTTGCAGGAGTACATGAAGCCTCTGCTGACCCAGCAGGACCAGGAAGTCGTCCTCACAGAGCGCGGTGGTGACGCGAGGCAGGCGGCCATCGCTGTCCTGTATCACTGTGTGTCTGTGTCCCTGGCCCTGCTCGCCCCCTTCATGCCGTTCATCACTGAGGAGCTGTGGCAGCGACTTCAGCCGTTTGCACCCGAAGCTGCTGCACAGACCAGCCTGTGTTTGCAGCCGTACCCCCGCACCGCTCAGTTGGTAGGTTGGTCTGAGGTTTCCACGTGTTTGTAGCCCCCCAGGAAAGAACCTTCTCGTCTTAAATAACACTAAAAACCTGCTAATGTGCATTAATATCTCAAATGATTCCAGTCAGAGTAAAGCGAGTACAAGCTCGGCAGGAATCTGTGCTGTGAGATGAAGAGCAGAGACGGATCCATGTTCAGGCAAACGTGAGACTAAAACTCAGAGCGAGCAGAAGGAAACAGAACACGACTGAGCTGAGCTTCACCCAGAGACATTTACTGTAATTCAAGCTTTTAATAATATTTCAGTGACAAACATAACATTGATCACACTGTTCGTACCCACAGACGGAGGGACAGTAAATAAGGTCCAGCTGACAGCAGCTGTAATCTGAAGGCTGTAACATCGACTCCCCACAGTAACACAGATCAGATGATCTGATATTTATAGCAGGAAATAAACTCTGAACGTTTGGGAAACAGAGTTCACCAGTGATTACTCCTGAAGTTTTAAATGTCTGTCCCTCCTCTGGCACTAATCTAATTAGCTGCTGAGCCTCGTCTGGCTCTTTTGGATCTGGAAGAGGAGAGCTGGACTCTGAGCGCCTCACCAGGATCCTCACCCTCTGCTTAAGGCTGAGCCCAGGATTGCTCTCATCTCATTATCAAAGCTCCTGATCATAGGTGAGGGTTTGAATGTAGACGGACCAGCAACAGCTTTGCTTTCACATTTGGCTCTTTCTGAGTGTGAGTGTGTCACCACAACAGCCCAGCTCAGAGTGCACGGTCACTCCTGCTCTCAGTACTTAAACCCTCACACTGAGCACTCCACCTTCTCTGAGGACCGTGGTCTTCGACTTGTAGCTAATTTTCAGCCGAGCTGCTTCGATTTCAGCTGCAAACTCTGAGATAAAAATGATGAACAGAAAGAATAAATCTGATTTATTAC